CAGCAACTGATCGCAACCCTCAGAGTCGCGCCCGTGCCGTAACGGTACCGGCAACGGGATCGCAACCCTCGGTGCTGTGCCCATACCTCGCTCAGCCAGTGAGCGGGAACCGGTCTGTATGTGGGATCTGAACCCTCGGCGGGAGCGCCGCCGCGCTCCCAAGCGGCGCACTGTAGCAGTGCGCCACCAGGCCGGCCCTAGAGTTTTCTTCTGAACTAACAATACTTTTTGAAAAGTTAGTAGAATATTCAAAAACCTAGCCTTGTTTGATTCCACATCTGTATCAATAGATGATTTCATTGGAATGCAGTATGTGCTAGGATAGAGACATGCACAGAGTTCTGGGGGATAGGGTATGGGGCAGTGTCCCTGGCCCAGAGTAAGTAAGAAGGCTTTCTGGAGATGACACCTGGGCTGAACTTTCAAAGATGAGCATGAGTTTAGCCAAATAAAGAAGGTGGGGTGGAGGAGGGGGAAGGAAGACTGGGGGAATGTTTCAGACCAAGGGAATAGCATAAATAAATGCTTAGAGTCATAAAATGATTTGGGTATTGGGAACAGTTTGATATCACTGATATGTAAAAATGATGAGTTGTGTTTAGAGGTTTGACTTTATCCTGAGGGCATGAAAGACTCATTAAAGGGTTTGAACAGTGAGTAACCCATAAAGAGTTGGATTTTAAGACCATTAACCTTATTTGCTTTCTAAACATTCTGTACTAGTAAGGTCAGTGTGATCATTTAGAAAACAGTTGCAATAGTCTGGGCAAGAGGTGGCGAGGACCTGAACTAGAGCAGTTATTGTAGAAATGGAGGAGAGAGAATAACCCTGGAAGTATTAGGGAATAAAATGGGCAGGACATAGTACATTGATTGTAGATATGAAGATCAAAATAAAGGGAGATGAAAATGGATGGCACTGCAGCGTCAGGCCCATACCCAGCTGTTGCCAGCAGTTGTTCAAAAAAAAAAGAGAGAGAGAGAGAGGGAGGAATCAGGTTTGTTAAAACACATCCTTATTGAGCAACACAGGGAGTCAGTATGTTTATCTTCTTGGGTCTTGGAAAGGGAGGAGACTACTGCTTCATATTGCAAGTCAAGAACTAAAGGCAGAGGGTAAATAAGGAGGGGGATTCTTTCCATAACCCTCCACAAGAGACAGACAGATGCGCATCTCTCCCTGTGTCTCACATCACTACGCACCATACTAGTGGTCTTGAAATTTTTTTTTAAAGTAGTGTTAGGAATCCTTTATCCAGACAAAATCTTATTATGTAAAACCTCAGATATAACAACTAAAACAGCGGTAAAGGGACCTGAGGCCACTCCACAGAGCCCCTAGGACTCTGCAGAGAAGTTTGAACAGCATTGTTCTAGAGTGAACACAGCTGAACTTACCCGAACCTTCACCACCCCAAACTTCAAATAAAAGTTGATGTGAGAGGCCCTTCAGCTCAGTAGCTCAGAGAGTGGTGGTATCTGTCTCAGATTATGGTAATGCACTTGCTTTAGAAATGTTTGCTCGGGGCCGACCCCGTGGCGCACTCGGGAGAGTGCGGCGCTGGGAGCGCAGCGACGCTCCCGCGCGTGGGCTCGGATCCTATATAGGAATGGCCAGTGCGCTCACTGGCTGAGCGCAGTGTGGGCGACACCACACCAAGGGCTGCGATCCCCTTACCGGTCACGAAAAAGACGAAAAAAAAAAAAAAGAAATGGTTTGCTCGTAAGGCATGTTTGAGTTTAAGAAAGGTAAAATTGATGAAGTAGAGTTATCAACCGTGATCAATTTTAATTATCTTGCTCGATCAGAAAGAGTATCAAGGTGAAGCGGAGGGAGTACCAGCCTGGGAGTCTAGAGGTCCGGTCCTGGCTCTGCCACTGGCTAGCCACATGACCTTGGGCCTGTCCCTGAGCCTCATCTGCCTTGACCTATTAAATGAGAACATGGTGATCTCTCATGCCCCTTCTAGATCTAAAATTCTATTAATTTGAAGAAGCCAGCTTTTGGGGAAAAGGCTTTTGATTGAAGAGCCAATTTCAGAAATTAGTGCCTGCTTGTGAGAAATGACCTGAAAGTCCCACAAAGGGAATAGAGGTGAAGCACAGTCTATGGTATTTATAAACCTATCTTCATCATTCTGTAGCTAGACAGAATGCTTTTGGCAATCACTTTTTAATGGGAATTTTCTGTTATCTTTTGGAGTTTGATTTTGGCCATATGAGCACAGTGATAATGAGTAAGTGCCTCTGACCAGCTAGAACTGCTAAAATGTATAGAAAGCAAAAGTAAAAGTTATTTGGGTAATTCTTTTGTAAAGTTTTAAGAGTGTAGCCTATGACCTAATACGCCTCCTCTGTTACATAGAGTAGTGTGCTCACCATTTCCCTACTACTGAGCTTTAGAGAAGGTGGCCTCTTTTCTTCCCTGGGGCTTTGCTGGTGTATTAGTTATAAATGGCTGTGTAACAGATTGCTCCAAAACTTAGTGGCTTAAAACAACAAAAATTTATTACCTTATAGTTTCTGTGGGTCAGGAGTTCAGGAGCAGCTTAGCTGGGTGGTTCTGGCTCAGTGTCTCATGAAGTTGTTGTCAAGATGTTGACTAGGGCTACAGTCATCTGAAGGTTGACTGGGCTTGAGGATCCACTTCCAACCCCACTTGCATGGCTGTTAGCAGAAGCCTCATTTCCTCACCAAGTTTGCTTCTCTACAGGACTACTTGAATGTCTTCATAACATGACTACTGACTTTCCCCAGAGCAAGTGATTCAAGACAGATAGTAAGACAGAAGCTACAATCTTTTATGACTTAATAGCAGAAGTCATTCTTCATCATTTTGTCGTAGTCTATTTGTTAGCAGAAAGTCTCTGAGTACAGCCCTCACTCAAGGAAAGGGAAATTAGGCTCCACCAAAGGAAGGAGTACCATAGAATTTGTGGATAAATTTTAAAACTGTAACAGCTGGCTGTGGCACTGTTTTTCTGACTAAGGTGGTGTCAGTAACAGGTTTTATTCAAGTATATGTCTGGTTAGTCAAGAACTTAGTACTCACTCACAAACTGGTTCCTAGAGCTGGTTAACTTGCTATTTTTCCCCCCTCAAGGTATATTTAATGGTTATTAAGGAACTGAATGAAGAGGGTAATTGTGAACATATACTTGATTCAGCAGACATTCACTCATTATCACTATGTGCAGGGATATAAAATAAGCCATGGTCTATATTTTTGAGAAATTTGTACTAGGGAAGACAGATAAAAAAGAAAAAGAAAAAAAAGACACATACAATACAGTTTGATAAATGCTATGACAGTAGTAAGCACGGGATGATTTGGTTAAGTGGAGGAGGGATATCTAACTAAGATTGGGGAGGTCAGGGAGTCAGGGAAGCTTTGTAGAAGCAATGACTCCTGGGTGCAGACCCCCACACACCACAGAACTCAGACACAGAAACTTGTGGCCCTGTGCAGAGAAGAACCTCACTACTCTTTTTACCTTGCAGAATGTTGCTGAGGCACAGTGCATCGCCAACCAAGTTCAGCTCTTCTATGCCACTGATCGGAAAGAGACCTACGGGTTAGTGGAGACCTTTAACCTCAGACCAAATGAGTTCAAGTATATGTCTGTCATTGCTGAATTGGAGCAAAGTGGACTCGGAGCAGGATTGAAATGTGCCCACAACCAGGATAAGACTTAAAACTGTAAGGATTGGCCCTTCACAGGCAGCTCAGCCCTGGATAATCTACAGCCCACCCATCCCTTGAACTCGAGCACAGCATCTGTAATGAGCAATCTGCAATGAGTTGCCCTGTATGCTTATTGCAAGAAGCGATCATGGAGTTGAACCCTGTTAGTTGATATTTAGGAACAAAGGTACCCAAACATTCTGATATTTATCTCTCAGCATACTTGAGGTTTCCTTTTAAGTATGTGAAGTCATAACAAGAGACAGCCAAGGATCTGCAGGACAGTTGGCTTGATTCTACACAGTGTAACAGTACAGTTACATTCTGACCATTTTGACCTCGTAGCTCCCAAATGATCGGTTCTTCATTTTTATGAACTTGTGACAGGATAATAGGCTTTAAGACCTGCTATAGTTAGATGTGGGCTTTATAGTCTTCCCATGTGCCAGTCTGCTGGCCAAAGCCATAACCCAAATATCCTGTTTAGACCCTAGAACAACCAGATATTTCCATCAGGATAAAGACTTCATCTAGATGCCTCCCGGAGTTGCTTTTAGAGTAGCTGGTTTGGGGTGTCAACAGATTTCAGGTATAGTTAGATAAACAGGTACAATGCGTGTATATTATTAAACCATAGTTTGTGGCACCTTCTCCTCTAACTCTGCCTTTTAGAAGCTGTATGTTGGAAAGGAGTGAATCAGTGCAATGTAAATAAATCAACACACTTTTGTAAGAAGATCAATTCAGATTTGCATGATTATTTAAAACAACTCTTAAGTATTATGTGATAAAGTGGGTGGAAGCAAATGTTCCCAGATTGGGTGTGGGAAAAATGTAGCAATGAAATAAAGTCTGGCTGACAATCTTTGTTACACAGAATAGTGAAATCTAAGCTATGTGCTGTCCATCGTGTCAGTATAGTGGGCTGATTTTATCAAAACTCGTTGTGGGACTCAGCAGTTAGTTGTTTGAAACACCAGAAATAAGAAAGTTGTTCTCCAGCACTGGGAGCTCATATTTGATTTGTAGCGTCGCTGTTGTGGCTCTAAGCTCAGTGATGGAAGAGGATGGTAGTTACACACCAGCCTTCTGAACCAGAGGCCCCCGGTACCCACCTTATTATTGCTGACCACCTGTACTATGCCTTGCCTTTCCCTGATCTAATATGTTTCACTTTTTCTGCTCTTCCTGCCTAAGATCTGTGATACTGAATATGGTGTGGGAATTTAAGCAGTATTTATAGTTTGTGTGTGTGTTTTCATTTTCTTCATTACTGAAGACATTTTATAGATTGGGCCTGTCCCAAGCTCTTTAAATAAGATTGGACTTCCCATTATTTTCTCAGCTGTGTCTGTTTTGTTGTACCTCTGAATCTGTGTGTAGAGAGAGACAGATACTATTTGTTTAACCTGGAGAAGCTGCTACCCTTTCACAATTCCTCTAAAGGTTGAGCTGTTCCTAATGCAAATTCTGGACCTGCTTCTGGTCCTGACAGCTCATCTTTTGAGAAACTTGAGTCTTATCAGCCTTGCCATTTTCCTTAAATGCCCTTTGACCTTGTGGATGTTTTGAGTCCCAGGAATTTTTTTTTTTTTTCTGGTTTTTGACCGGTAAGGGGATCACAACCCTCGGCATGGTGTGGTCCGCACTGCGCTCAGCCAGCGAGTGCACCGGCCATCCCTATATAGGATCTGAACCCGTGGCCTCGGCACTCCCAGTGCCACACTCTCCCGAGTGAGCCACGGGGCCGACTCAGAGTCCCAGGAATTTTTGATGTCAGGTAAGGTTGATTTTGTGGGTATCCAGTTATGTTTGCTCTTCCCTCCAGATGGATCCGGTTCTTGGTCATAGTACATTTCCATTACACCTCCACAAGAGGGTGAGAAAATGATGGAAAAAGTAAGAAATGGCTGCTCATTTTATTCCCCACAGCTTTGCACTCAATCCCCACTTGCTAGGATGTATCCATGGATAATTACATTGGATATGACTAAAGTACCATCTGGCTGTTCTTTATATTCATTTACCTGGAAAGATCTGGCAAAGAACTAAAAGAAAATTGTAATGTTTGATCAGTAGATTTGTCCCCTGGTGCTAGCATGGTGTTATAGAAAGTAGACAGGCTTTAGAGTTAAGTGAGTATAGTTCAGATGTCAGTGTGGCTGTTCATTAGTGCAATAATGTTGAACAGATTACTTAAACTCTCTAATTCTGTGGGGGTTTTTTTTCTTCTGTAAAATGGTGATTATACCTACCTCATAGGATTATTGTGAGAATTAAATTAACATGTATAGACTACAGTGGAACTTAATATATGTCAACTCCTTTCCTCTTCTGTACTTACCCTCATTAAAGACTAAGACAGATTAGCATTGCAGATGTGCAGATTATTCTTTATTCCAGTTTAAAGAATAAACCTTATCTCACTGGTTCTCAAACTTTAAGATGCAGTAGAATCACTTAGGACACTTGAAATGCAGATTCCCAGACCCCAAGCCCCCAACCTGCTGAATCAGAATGTTTTCAGAAGGAGCTGAGGATCTACATTTTAATGTTTGCTCCAGATGATGCTGATATAGGTAATTAACCAGCTACACTTTGAGAGCCATTGCCTTATTTATTCTTCATGAAAAATGTGCATTAGCCAGGTCTTTTTTTCCCACAGACATTAACCGTAGGATTTAGGTTCCTCTGCTCTTTGTTCCCCATAGTGATCCCCTTTGCATACTTTAATTACTTTTTTTTTTTTTTCTTTTTTTCCCCTTTAGAATGTGAGCTCCTTGAGGGCCAGGATTTATCTCTATCCCTAGTGCCAAGGACATGGCCTGGACCATAGAAGATACTCAGTTGTATGTTGAATAAATAAATGACATGGATTTCAGCCAAAACATTATCTTGTTGTTGTATGTGTGCCTATATTTAAATACTCTGGATTTAAAAGAATGTCTTAACACACACAGATCAAGAATTTGTTGAGTAGGAATATTTGCAAACCAAGGTACTAAGTTATACACATAGTCTCTGTATCTAGCCTAATCCACTGACACTACCATGGTGGACCATCTACTCAGTGCAATTCACCAGTTGCTCACAGAGCACCTACTCTGCAACGACTGTGGTAAATGCTGGACACAGCAAAATGAGTAGCATATGATCCCTGATTTCAAGCTCTGTTTCAGCCACTGCCTGTTTCTCTCTTTCCTCTGATTCTGTGCCTCACATCTAGCACCTGGTCATAGTTTGCCTTGTCTTGTTCTTAGGATGTTCATACAGGTACTTCTTTTCCAGCCAGTTTAGAAACTGGAGCCACATGTTCTGTTTTTTGCATTCTTCAATACTGACCTTTTGTTCAGTCTTAGAGAAGAGGTGCTAATGCCCACTCTCCTAGTCATTTGACTTAGCATTAATTCGGCATTAATTTGTTTTTATTGAGCACCTATTATATGCCAAGCACTGTTATAGAAAACTGCAGAATATTGGGCCGGCCCGGTGGCGCACTGCTACAGTGTGCCGCTTGGGAAGCACGGTGGCGCTCCCGCCGAGGGTTCAGATCCCACATACAGACCGGTTCCCGCTCACTGGCTGAGCGAGGTGCGGGAGCAACACCGAGGGTTGCGATCCCGTTGCCGGTCCCGGTCCGGTACGGGCGTGACGATGAGGGTTGCGAACCAGTGCCGGACACGAAAAAAGACAAAAAAAAAAAAAAGAAAACTGCAGAATACAGCAACAAATAGGATAAATAAGGCCCCTGTTCTCATGTAAACCAATAAGACTATTTCAAATACTGGTAATGCTATGAAAATAAAAATAATGTGATGGACTATGGAGTGATGACAATAATTTAATGGTCAGGAGAGCCATCTCTGCAGAAGTGACAGCTGATACATGAGCTAGGGAAAGAGTACCAGGTAAAGAGAACAGCAAGTGCTGAGGACCTGGAACACAGCCAAGCTAAGCATGCTTGTTTCTGGGCACAGATTTAAGCTTCAGTCCCTGCCCTTTAGGAGCCCACAGTGACATGAATATACTGACAGGAATAATTACAAAACCCTGACATGAGTAATTACAATAGCAGGCAAACTGGCCAGCACCATCTAAGATGGACAAGGAAGTTAAAGAACCCAGATGCAAAGCTTGGCAGAGCATGATACCTGCCAGTGAAGTGCTTATGGAATAACAGGTAGACAATATTAAAGTCTCAAAGGACATGTGTTTCATACAAGAGACAGGCCCTGTGTGAGTTCAGAGCTGGCCTCAGAATACATACATGTTAATAACTACTAACATTTACTAGGGGCTTATCATGTTCCAGGCACTGTGCTAAGCTCTTTACATAGATTATCTCAATCCTATCAACAACCCTAAGAGGTTGGCAGGAACCTCCAGGTTGGTGAGATGTGCTGCTGCTTTCCTTGTACCCTCCTACCTTTCACCAGCTCCAGCTCAGAAAACAGGGCAACTTCCCAATCACCTCTAACCCCAGCTCCAGCTCAGAAAACAGGGCAACTCCCCAATCACCTCTAACCCCAGCTCCAGCCATGAACTGAGGTCTTAAGACATGAGTGGCTCTGGAACCAGCCCTGGCATATCTGGCAATTTTCCTGCTGGTAACTAAGGAATAAAATGCATGCATTATACATTTCTGATTCCTCCAGACTTTATTTTGAAAGACATCATGTTCTAACTAGGGAGGACTTTTTTTTGTGCTCGTGTGCTTTATGCTGCATGGAGTATGTTGGTCTTGTCAATTCTCTTAATGTGGCAAGTTGGCAGCAGCAACTTTATCCCTGTTTTGAAGGAGAGACTTGGGGCACAGGAAGGAAAGAGATGACTTAAAGGTTGCTGCCTGCATCAGGAGCCAAGCCGGGAATAAAAGGCAACTAACTGTCCATGCTCCAGACTTAATTATATCATTTGTAATATCCACTGAGCAGATTCATTCCTCACGTTCACTTGAATGGGGCTACTTTTGAGCTCTTCAGGCCTTTGGAACTGGAATGTTTACAGGAAAAATTGATTCAAACCTCTGGTGAATCCTCCTAGAACTTTCAGGACAAAGTCCCTTTGGATCAGTTCACAAGAGCTTCAAGATCTGGTGCCTGGTGACCTCCAGGTTCATCTCTTGCTGGGCCCACACCCAAATCTTTAGCTCCAGCCATTCTGGATGACTGGCAGCTCCCTGAATACACTGTGCTCTTCCTACCTCCGTTCTGCTCTTTCCAAATACTTTTGCTTGCTTCAAATGCCTATTCCCCCTTCATCAAGTTAATTCTTATTTGTCTTTCAAATCTCCACTGAAGCATTTCTATCAGATACCTTCCCTGAGACCTACACCCCTCCACACTGCCCTCACTTGGGTCACGTACTCCTCTGTGCTTCCTCAGCATTTTGTGCTCAACCTTTACAAGGCTGTCTCCCTAACTAGACTGGACAGTGGGGGTCATATCTTACCAGAAATTATATTCCCAATATCCAGCATGAAAAGTCTTCACTTTTCTCCCTAACAGCCTCTCCTGCTGATATGTGAAGATAGCTCTCAACTTGCCGGGGCATCTTTCAGCAGATTAAACAACCTTCTGTCTTTCCTTATCTGACCCAAAACACGAGCCCTCACTTTCCGGCTCACCTGCTTCTGGACAGACTCTAGCTCACCAGTGTGTGCCTTACACACATGCCTAGAGTTGAACCCAAGATGTCCTTGTGGGATGGCCAGAGTGGATTCGGGCTGTCAGTCCTTTGGGAGTTGGCATGGCCCACCTGGAAGTCATTTCCCCATGTTGCCCCTCACTGGGCTCATCTCAGTGGCTCCACCCCACCTTTTCCCCACCCTTGTCCCTTCTCCCACCCTCAGCTGTTTTCCCAT